TATATATATATATATATATATATATATATTTAACCAAAAGATCAATAAGATTCATCTGTGGATATGAATAAGAGATCACTGGAATATCACACTTTTCCCCTCCTTTATTAATTTATCCTACCGGTTTCAAGACTCCAAAGGTCATTTTTAAGGAAATAGTTTTACTGAGAATTTTTTTCTTCGAGTCTTAGTAACTGTTTTCACAGGAATTGTAAAACCGTGAAAATAGTTACTAAGACTTATTTCATTTCAATTTGATCACCACAACACGTGCAATATTATACCCTCATGGGAGATCTTAAACTAAGACGCAATAATGATGTTTGAAACGCTTATGACGTAATTTTGGAATTGAAATCCATAGTGATTTGTCAATCTAAGAAGTTTGTTTTTGTTTCATTTGTATTTAAGCACAAAGCTAAACCAAGGGCTATCTGTGCTTTGCCCACTACGGGTATCGAAAACCGGTTTCTAGTGTTGTAAGTCCGCAGAAATACTGCTGTGCCACTGGGGGACAATTTAAGAAGATCCCTTTTATGTCGCCCTTTCGTTTTACGTTAGGAAACTTCACGAGTCGCCTGTAAAGCACCGGCAAAATTAGTTTACAAAGTTACCCTAAATTTTGTTTGTTTGTTTGGAATTAAGCCGAAAGCTACACAATGGGCTATCTGTGCTCTGCCCACTACGGGTATCGAAACCCGGTTTCTATCGTTGTAAGTCCGCACACATACCGCTGTGCTGCTGGGGGCTACCTTAAATTTATCGGTTTAAATACATTTACTTGTATTTAACGGTCTTCCAGTGGAGTACTAAAGAACATATTACCAGCTACTTATAGTGTATCTGTGTAAAATACAGCAATAACAGAAACATTTTTTTTTGTTTTATATTGATACTTTCGAGAAAATTTTATTTTTCATTATAGTTGACATAATGCTAATTTTCAGAAATTTTGCAAAAGTAAGTTGTTAATATTTTTGTTACTAGTAGTTGAAATAAATTCACCATTCATTAACACCTTGGTCTGGCATGACCTGGTGGTTAAGGCGCTCGATTTCCATTCTGAGGGTTACGGGTTCGAATCTCCGTCACCGAACATACTCGGCCTTTCAGGCGTGGTGGCGTTATAATGTGACGGTTAATCTCCCTATTCGTTCGTAAAAGATTAGGCCAAGAATTGTCGGTGGATGGTGTAAACCAACTGCCTTTTCTCTAGCCTATCACTGTTAAATTAGGACAGCTAGCGCTGATAGTTCTCGTGTAGTTGTGCGCTAGCTTTCACACAAAACAAACTATTAACATCCCTATTGTGGATTTAATGAACTATTTTCATGAAAGTGATAGCTTTTAAAGTAAAATACACGAATTAAGTTGAACGAGAAGGACTATCTTAGATATTAATTATAAAATATATAATTGATTGGCTCATTGGTATGTCGTGACTGTTACGTTATTTTTATATAGTTACAGTATATTTAATTGATATTAAAACTGAGAAATGAACAGTAAATCTGAATACGCTAATAATTTTATTATAGCGTTCAGGAGATTGTTAGAAATATCTTAAATCGTAATTAATTACATTCATTTTTTAAAGTGTGACCAGTACATCTTTATAAGTAACTTTTTGCCCTAAATATAATTTGGCTTAGTAATAAGCATCCAGATCCATCACTCGCGTTCTGGTTCAACGTACCCACAATAAAAATGGCGTTCGGGTACGTTATAAAAGTGATGGTGATATTCCACTATTCAGTCACACAAAAGTAACCCAAGAGGTGGCAGTGGGCGCATTTAACTAACGCCTTCCCTCTAGTTGATCAATTCAAAGTTTGGGACGACCGTCAATCTTATAACGCATCTACAATCTGAAAATGATGGTAATTGTAAGTTTGCTTCGAGTCAATCACGTTAGAGAACCACATTCTTCTTTGAAAAAACACGATGACGAACATAATATTATAGTTCTGAAGTATTACACGTAATCTGAAAACAACAACAACAAAGAACAGATTTATAGCCCTTAATTACCAATCCCTCCTGTGGGTTAGTGTTAAGCTTACAGACATAAAACGCTAAGATCCGAGGTTCGATTCCACGTGACAGACAGAGTGCAAGTAGCCTGTTATGTAGCTTTACGCTCATGCAAAAGTAAACATGAAAACATACTGTTAGTGACAAAACAGAGCCCCCTAGTGGCACATCGGTATGTCTACGGATTTACAATACTAGAAACCGGATTTCGGTACCCGTGGTGGTCAGAGCACAGATAGCCTATTGTGTAGTTTGTGCTTAATTACAAACAAACAAACAGACAAAACAGAATGTTTTTACCCTGACCTGGAAACGTAATTGATTTTTATTTTTAGTGTGTAAGATATATGTTGGCACAGAAGCTAATAAATAATCCTGAAATTACTAGTATAAGTCTAACCCTAAAAATATTATCAGGTAATTAAGGAAGGTTTAAAAGTAAACAGTTCAGAAATTTGAAAATTACACATTTTGATGACTCATCGCTAACTCCTTTTAAGTAAAAAAATTCTTATAATTTAAAAACTTTCCATAATTTTATGCATATACGTAATTCTGCAATTTTGATTCCTATTTAAGATTAACTTCAAAATTGAAAGTAATTACTTTACAAATTAGATAACAATAAAATAATAAAATAAAACAGAGACAGTTAAGCCATATCACCAAGGAAATGTAGTAACTTTAGGATAGCACCAACGGGTACGTCATGGTCAAACGCCATCAGTACCAACCTACGAACTTGAAGCTGCTCAAGGAACTAAAATAGGTTAGGTCAGTTTAGGCGGTTTTGCAATGAAGGGTAATGCTGTAGATATGAAGGTCACCTGAACTGTACTACGGTATAAAAACGGTCACAGGTCAGCATTTACTATACGTCGCTGGTTCCAGCTGTTAATACAACAAGTCAGTTTATTCAAGACTATATCGCTCTTTTCTACTCAACAAATATGAAGACTTTGGTAAGAAAAGTTATTCTTTCTGTTTTACATTTGTAGCGATTTTATTAAAAGCTAAACCTTTTTTCATTCCCATCGAATAGCGTCTTTCTGGGCATATAGTTAAAATCTGGCATATTTTCTGTGTCTCTCATTTGGAAATCATAGTTTTACAGTGTTGTTATTATCAATTATTTTAAGTGGATATGTGTAAATTATAGCTAGAGTGACAAGACGATAGAGACACACTCACATATACGTGCATAAGTAACTTTTCTACACAATATGTGCATATTATTATCGTACGGAGAAAATACACATATATAAAATAGTTAACGTTTCAATACTGAAAGTAGAAATAGGCAAACTTCAGAATAGTTATGCACAAGAGTTACAATTAAATATTTTTTATTGAAATCGACTTTGAAATAAGGGACCGTAATTTTTAGTTATTTTTTACATAATCTTATAGAAATCTAATTGATTCTGTGTCTAACACAAACACACGCATTTAGATCAAACTTTCAATAGTTTGTTTATTTAAGCACAAAGCTACGCAATGGGCAATCTGCCCTGTGCCCACCACAGGGATCGAAGTCCTCATTTTAACGTTATAAGCCCTAAAGTTTAACGTTGAACTATTGAGGACGTGAAATTTCAAAAATAAGATTTAGTGTGTAACAAACAATGAACATTATGGTAGTTTTAGTATACGTTGGATGTAAAAAGATCATTAGAAAGTCAACTACAATTGCAGTCTAGACAAATAACTAAATGGTAAATTAAGAAAGTACTAGGTACGCTAACACTTAACCTATTTTACACTTCGAGTAATTAGGATAATAGCTTAGTCATGTTAAACACAGAAGAGTTTAACAGAAGAGTTGAAGCATCAAGCCTGTTTAAATATGTAGCATAACACTGTAGCATTCGAAAAGATTTTCATAAAAACGTAACATGAATATTTTTACAAAAAGTGTTTAGATATCCACCTTCACAATTGATATTTGTTTTAAATTTATTAATCAATGAACAATGGAAATATATTTGTCGCTGTTAGTTTAATCAAATGTTAAATTCTGAATTATTGTTTGCACCAAAACTGTCGTACCAGAAGTAATATGATTTTATTTTATGTAAAATGAAACGGTAATATCGTTTTCCGTTGGAGTTTATTTCTCAATTTTTTCATGAATAAAATTTATCATTTTCTGTATTTTCTTCACTTGCAGTGTGCTGTTCTGTTTCTGGCACTTGTGGCTACTGCCATGGCTGGATTCCTGAGTCCCTACCTAGGCTACGGCTACGCTGGTCACGCTGGCTACCCTTATGGTGGCCATTATGGTGGTTATTATGGTGGCCACTATGGTGGCTACTATGGTCATGGCCATGGATATGTTGGGCACCTGGGCTACGGTTATCCTTACAGATATGGCTATGGATATCGGGGCTATGGTTATCACTAATAAAAGTCATTAAAGTAAGCACTGTTTAAATTTCGTAAACTACATTGGCTTATTACGGTTAATTACTATTACTTCTACTTGTATTACGTAATCATGATTAAATAATAGAGGCTATATTTAACAGTGTACTTATAATACAGCTCAATTTTAGAATATTTGTACAGAAGAAATGCAGTCGAACTGATCTGATTCAAAAATCTATTGTGTCGAATGATCTAGTTGAAAAACTTCGAGATAGTATATGTTGGCTTGTTGCTACGGGGTTTCTACTCATCTTCAAAATAATCTTATATAAATCTAATTTCACAAAGATGTACTGAGATCACTACTACAAAATACGAGGCGTCACGTAAGCCAACTACAGACAAAATCGTGCCGAATATGTTGTTATAAAGTACTAAAAATCTTGACCAAATTGAGTTTTGTGAAAATATATCCAGTGAATAAATTTCTAGTATGTATTTTAGTATATGTCATTTCATAAGTTTCTAACATGATAAAACACAAAATACGTCATTGTGCATAACAATGAATTCAGTCACAGAAACAGTAGAGAAAAATAATATAAATGTGTAGAACTCGTTGAATGATGATGATTTGAAGCATAGGCAAAGTATGAATTATTGATATTTAGTATGTCTCAGAGAATAAAATAAAAGTTAAAAGTCTTTTTGAAATTATCATATATAATATGATTGAAAGATAGGTACATGTTATATAGGTTTATAAAGAAAATGAAAAACAAAAATTATTGCAGTGCATTTCAAAGCAACTGTTTATAAATATGAACCCTTAATCTATTTCTCTCGTTCTTTAATCGTAATTTGTGATTTACTTTTATTACAGGTTATCAGTTGTGACATTTGTTCTTCAATTGGCTTCAAAGAAATAATAATTATCTGAGGAAGATTAGGCCTAGTTGAAAGTAATATATATATATATATATCTATATCTCATATGTCTGTTGGAAAATGGGAAAATGAAAATAAATGCCTGTCAATATTATTTCATGGCTTGATTTGATTCTGTTCTGATTCGTTCAAATTGAACTCTAATTATTCATACTACAGGAAACGTGATAAACGAGGACACATGGCTGAAACCAGTGTTTGAATCACTAATTATTTCCAAGGTTGATATGGGTTATGATTATAAACAATTTAACATAATTAAAACCAAAACTACATAGTTGTCCCCAGCAGTATTCACTGAACTGTAAATACGAATTTACTTAAGGTATAACTCACCCATAAAACTGAGTAAATGTACATACTGAGGAAACTGTTAAACACTTCTTATAACCTTCAAGTTGAGCATAAAACAGAAGTATGATATGGCAATCTCTGAAAGTACACTTTCAGTTATATATGTTATATGTATAATTGATGTGGCAGGGATACAGAAATGCATAACATAAACTGTTTTAACATCATAACTTTACTTAGGAATGTTAAACATCTGAATATTAATACACATGCTCTTTATGAACATCCTCATAACTTGAATTAAAAACTTTGCAAATTTTCTGCAACCTTAACGAGTTATGGGCAATTTATTTTAATTAATGCCTTCGTTAGTGATAATTAGACTCGTAACAAGACAATTGGTAAAGATGTTTGAATTTTACAAAATTCAAGCTATGGAAGAGAGTAATATCAACAAGTGTGCTAGATTTCCTGCTGATAACAAAATTCAAGCTATGGAAGAGAGTAATATTAACAAGTGTGCTAGATTTCCTGCTGATAACAAAATTCAAGCTATGGAAGAGTGTAATATCAACAAGTGTGCTAGATTTCCTGCTG